GTGGGGGTAAAAAAGGAGGTCTGGGAGGGGTGTGCCCAGAGGGTTTTTTGGAGGGCTATGTGTGCTGATTATAAATATATATATGTTGGTGGGCTAAATCGAAAAGACGGGAAACCGTTACCGAGCCCAACAATTGGGTCATCAAATCATCACCGAATCGATCCAACGAATCCTTTGCATACATGTCACACATTTGGTCACAACTAAATCAATTGTTCACTCAATTAAATGTCAATTTTTGGTCTCAAATTGCATACAAACCTGATTTGCAATGAATGGACACTTCAATCAAATCTCATGAATAGTATTCAACGGAAGCACTGATTATAGGCCACAAGTCATACACTTTTGGTACAGTTTTGGCGCACATTTTCTGCACTTCTCTACCAAACAGAGTATTGCAGTGAAAACGCCGACAACACTAGAGATGAGGTGTGAATAGCGCTTGAAATGCATTTGTCATTTCATTGGCGTATTGTTTGCCGTAATTTGTGGACACATAATATGACAGTCACTGGGAATGCATTGAAATGCTTTGTGTGTTCACTCATTAAACACGTGTTTTATTTGTTATAATTATTTTTGATTATAAAACAAATCTAGCGTTCAATGAGTGAAAGCATTCATTCATTCAAACAAATCATTGTTTATTTCATTTGATTTTATATTTAATTTACAATAAATTGTTAATTGTTTTGTCAATTGTTTAGCCGTTATATTGAGCGCCGATTTGTTTGCTATTGAATTGTGAATCAAATATAAAAAGTGTGACAAATGTCTGAAACTCCGATTGAGATCGACGTAAGTACTCATCAATTGAGCGCTTTTTGTTTGCTTTGAGTTTAATTGTGAACTCAATTCACGACTCAATTAACGCTCAAAACGAGTCATTGCTTTTCAAATCACTGTTTACTTCAATCTGTAATGAATTGTTTTGTCCATAAGTTTTGCACGATTTTAGTGTCAATAATAAAAACGCCGATTAAATGGCCGTTAATTTGCGGCAAAACTTATGAATTACTATTAATTATGATTTAATTAACCGCTGATTACAATGTCTTTGTATGGGAACAGATGGGCGAAAGTCCCGCGCACTCGACGTTTGGCACGAATCCCATTGTCATTGAAGAGGACGACGACATCCAAGTGATGGCATCGCTTCCCAATCGGAACCACACGAAGACGTCGCCCATGAACTCGTCGGACACGTCCGGCCACTCGTCCGCAGGGAAGTCGACGCCACTGTTGTGCGAGAAATGCAAGACCGAGACCGTGGAGAACGGCGTCACCACCGAAGACATGACGTCCAAAGACTATTACTTCGATTCGTACGCTCATTACGGCATCCATGAAGAG